ACCCCTGTCAAAAATCAACTTAACATAATGTGATGGGTTATTTCTAACCCCTCAACTGTATTCCAAAAAGCTACATGTCTATATTTATTCCAGTACATGTACTGTTTTAATTAATGTAGCTTTGTAGTAAGTTTTGAAATTGGGAAGTTTGAGTCCTCCAACTTTCTTCTATTTTAAGATTGTTTTAGCTATTCTGGGTCCTTTAAATTTCCATATAAATTTTAGAATCAGCCTATTTCTGCAAAGTCAGTTGACACTGAATCTGTAGATCAATTCGGGAAATGTTGCCACCTTAACAATAAATCTTCTGATCCTTGAATATAGATGTCTTTCCATTTATTCAGAACTTTACTTTCTTTCAACAAATTTTTGTATTTTTCAAAGTACAAATTTTATACTTCTTTTGTTACATTTATTCCTCATTGTTTCATTTTTGATCCTAGACATTATTTTTAAATTTCATTTTGGATTATTCATTGCTGCTGTTTAGAAATATAATTCATTTTTGCATATTTAACTTGTACCTTGTTACCTTGCTGAACTTTGTTTATTCTAGATTTTTAGTGAATTCCTTTGGATTTCTCTACATAAGAACGCATCATCTGCAAATGGAGATAATTATACTCCTTCCTTATTTGATGCCTTTTATTTCTTTTTACTGACTATTTGCCCTTTCTAAACTGCCAGTACAATTTTAGATACTGGTGGTAAGAGTTGATGTCCTTGTCTTGCTCTGATCTAACGGGAAAAGCATTCATTCTTTCACCATCAAATGTCATGTTAGCTGTGGATTTTCAAAGATGCCCTTTATCAGGTTGAGAAAATTATCTTCTATTCCTTATTTGGTAAATATTTATCATGATAAGGTGATGGATTTGCCAAATGTTTTCCTGTGTCTACTGAGACAATCATTTACATTTGTGCTTTATTCCATTGACATGATGTATTACATTAACTAATTGTCAGATAATAAAACAGCCTTGCATTCCTGGAAAAAATATAGCTTTGGTCAAGGTATATAAACTTGTTAATATATTGCTGGATTCAGTTAACTAGTACTTTGTTTATTTTTATATCTATATTCATAAGAGATACTCATCTATAATTTTACTTTGTTGTGATATCTTTGTCTGGTTTTAGCATCAGAGTAGTGGCCTCACAGAATGAGGTTGCAAGTGCTACCTCTTCTATTTTTGGAAGTGTTTGTAAAGAATTGGTGTTCACTCTTCTTTAAATATTTGGTAGATTTATCAGTAAAGCTATCTGCACTTGGGCTTTTCTTTGTGGAAACTTTTTATATTACTAATTCTCTTTCGTTGTAGTAAGTCTACTCAGATTTCCTTTGCTTTTTGAGTCAGATTCAGTAGTTTGTGTCTTTCAGGAAATTTTCCCATCTCATCAAAATTATCTAATTTGTTGGTAACCAGTTGTCCATAGTATTCTCTTTTAGTTCTTTATATTTTTATAAGGTTGTAGTGATGTCCCCTCTTTTATTCCTAATTTTAGTAATTTGAGTGTTCTCTCTTTTTCTCTCAGTCAGTGTGGCTAAAGATTTGTCAATTTTGTTGATCTTTTCAAAAAATGAATTTTTGTTTTTCCATTCTGTTTCGTTAATTTCTGCTGTAATGTTTATTACTTCATCCTTTCTGTTTGCTTTGGGTTTAGTTTGCTCAACTTTTTCCAGGGCCTTAAGGTGGAAGGTTAGGTTACTGATTTTTCTTTTTCTTTTTCTTTTCTTTTTTTTCTTTTCTTTTCTTTTTTTTTCCCTCCCTCCCTCCCTCCCTCCCTCCCTCCTTCCTTCCTTCCTTCCTTCCTTCCTTCTTCT